ACTGCTCACCTTCTTAACGTGTGAGCACAGCCCCTGTCGCTTATGCCCACCACTCCCAGCAGAGGGAGCTTTTAGGAGGATGCTGCTCTTGTTTGCCTCCAGACGTCGGACACAGCAAGTGGAGACCAAAGACCAGAATGGACATCTGTTGGAAGGCAAGACCTCAAAGACCTCAACTCCTATGATTTCGTCTGGAAATTCCCAGAACGAAAACAGCACCCCACCTTCCAGCTATAGCTCCGAGAGAATGCTTTCATGACGTGTGCCCGGAATGCTCAGGAGTGCTGACTGAGTTGTCCCGACCACTGCCAGTATGGGGTTGAGTGATACAGTCACAAACAGCTTCATACCCGTTAAAGACGGCTGATTGGGATGATTAGCCCAGACCCAAGGCCTCATCGCACCCCGACTCTATTTTCTGTTTCTACCTCCTTGTTTCTGTCATTTATACAAACCTACAACAAAGAATCCAAGTAAGCGCTTTGACAACCTTTGCTTGGTCTCGTTCTTTTCTCGCCATCTTTCAGGCACGGTCCCCCTTGACCCCACGAGTAACAGAAGGTCCTGCGGGCCGGGACAGACATCCTCAGATAACTTGGCCTACCTGAGCCAGGCCAAGGCCGCCCTAGCCCAAGGGGCAGTAGGCAAAACAACTTTAATAGAAAAAAACGAATTCCTATCCCTTTACCCCCATAGATTACCTTCTAAAGGTGATCCCCAGAAACTGTCTAACACAGCCTCTTTTTTTGGTTTAAATAGATGAAATAGTGGACGCCCAGCAAGTCGATGGATGAGAATTTTCGAACCGGGAGGTGGTATGAGAAGGAGGTTAGCAGAGGCAGGCAGGGCCGATTCCATAGGCCTTGTACCACCCCGCGTAAGTAGTTGGAGATATATATAATACTATAATATACCTATATATATATATATATAATAATACTTTTTTTTTTTTTTTTTTTTTTGAAGACAGGTCTCACTCTTGCCAAGCTAACAGTAGCTGCTGTGGCGTCAGCCTAGCTCACAGCGCACCTCAAACTCCGGGTCAGGAGATCTTGCTGCCTCAGCTCCCGAGTAGCTGGGACTACGGCTAACCCCCCCAAACCAACCCCCATGCCGGCTAATTTTTCTAACATATTTTAGTTGGCCAATTAATTTCTTTCTATTTTTGTAGAGACGAGGGTCTCGTCGTTGTCAGGCTGGTTTTCGAACTCCTGACCCTTGAGGCCACTCTGCCCGCACTCTGCCTCCAACTAGGCTTACAGGTGTGAGCCACCGCGCCCGGCCTAGTAGTTTGGATCTTACTCTGTTTATTAAGTGCAGTGAAAAGACACTGGAGGACTCCAAGCAGGGAGCGCGACATGGGGTGACCCACAGGCTGACTGCGCCTTCTGTGCCGAGAACAGCTCAGAGAGGGGCAAGAGCGGAAACAGGAAGACCGTTCGGTTGGTCTGGGGCAATGGCGCCAGTGAGAAACTGAGATGGCTTCGTCTAAGGTGGCAGTGGTGGAGACGAGGAGTGGTTACATCCAGACGTACCCTGGAGGTACCTGGATTTACTGATGGACTGGGAGGGTGTTGAAGAAACAGAAGAGTCAGCGATAACTAGATTTTTGGAGTTTGAAGGATTAGTGCCATTTCCTGTGCTAGGGACATTTGAGGAGGGAGCAGCTGGCTAGGGACTGGGCAGGGAGCAGCCTGGCTCTGTAGAGGGAAAGGAAGCTGGTTGACATATATTTCAGGATTTGTTTGGGTTTTTAATTAATAGACTTTACTTTTTAGAGCAGTTTTAGGGTCATAGCATAACTGAGTAGAAGGTACAGAGAGATCGCATATACTCTCCCATCCCCTACTGTCAACATCCCCCGCCAGACTGGTACATGGGTTACACGTGTTGAACCCACCTTGACTGACACATTATCACCCGGGGTCTAGAGTCTTGGAGTTTACGTTAAGGTTCATGCCTGCTGCTGTGCATTCTGTGGGTCTGAAATGTCCATCTTAAACAACAAGATTCAGAAATTATGATGAAGTGTAGAGTTTACTTGAGCACAGAGCCTGAGGGTGGCCACCTGGAAGACACCAACTCCAGACAGAGTCAGCCTTCCAAACTGGAGAAGCTATGGTTTCACTTATGCAGGCAGAGAGAGAGAAATCTTGGCAGGATTACAACATTTTCCACATGAGACCAGTACGTACATTAATGATTTGATTGGTTATAGATTGGTACATTCCAAGGAGGATTACTTTATTCCTCCACAAGGACGGGAAGTGATCTAAAGGGGTCTTATCTCTGGTGCCATTTGGTCCTCCTAATTATTTATAGGAAGGAAAAAAAAAAGGCAGAAGTTGCAGCTGAATGCCATGTGACTGAATGCCACATAGCCACATGCCTCTCGAGGCTCAGAATAATTTAAAATTCCAACAGCTTTAAGTTTGAATTGTTTAATTTCACAGAATAAATGTATAATTATGTGTATCCACCATTATAGTGATGTACAGAATAGTTTCGCTGCCCTAAAAATCCCGCGCTCCTCCTCTTCATCCTTTCCTCTTTCCACACCCTGGCAACCACTAATCTTTTACTGTCTCCAGGACAGTTTTGCCTTTTCCAGAATGTCACATGGATGGAACCACACAGTCTGTAGCCTTTTCAGACTGGCTCCTTTCACTTAGTAATATGCATTTAAGGTTCCTTCATGTCTTTTCAAAGCTTGATAGGTCATTTCTTTTTAGCATTGAATAATATTTCCTTGTCTGGATTTATCAGTTTTTTTTGTTTTTTTTTTTTTTTCATTCACTTACTGAGGAACATCTTGGGTGCATTCAAGTTTTGTTGTCTTTTTTTTTCCTTAGATCAATGAAGATGCATTCAAGTTTTGATAATTATAAATAAAGTTGAGGCCGGGCGCGGTGGCTCACGCCTGTAATCCTAGCACTCTGGGAGGCCGAGGCGGGCGGATTGCTAGAGGTCAGGAGTTCGAAACCAGCCTGAGCAAGAGCGAGACCCCGTCTCTACTATAAATAGAAAGAAATTAATTGGCCAACTAATATATATAGAAAAAATTAGCCGGGCATGGTGGCGCATGCCTGTAGTCCCAGCTACTCGGGAGGCTGAGTCAGTAGGATTGGTTGAGCCCAGGAGATTGAGGTTGCTGTGAGCGAGGCTGATGCCATGGCACTCACTCTAGCATGGGCAACAAAGTGAGACTGTGTCCCAAAAGAATAAATAAATAAATAAAGTTGCTATGAATGTCCATGTGCAGGAGTTTTTGTTTTCAGCTCCTTTGGCTAGATACCAAGGAGTGTGATTGCTGGGTCATGTGGTAAGAGTATGTTTAGTTTTGTAAGAAACTAAACTAAAACTGTCTTCCAAAGTAGCTGTACCATTTTGCATTCCCATCAGCAATGAATGAGAGTTTCTTAACACCAGAATTGTCAGTATTTTAGAGTTTTGGACATTCTAATAGATATGTAGTATTGCTTTAGTATTTTAGTAATTTGGGAGATAAACAATTCATCTCAGAAATCCTCAAACTCATTAGCACTATCTACCCATAGGACCAAAGTCAGAGCACAGCCTGGTGTTGTTGAGCTACAAAAAAATCTGAACATTTTCCTGTAGTTCACAAAGAGCACTGGGGCGGGCTGAGACTCAGGTTTGTGGGCAGCTCTTGGGCAGCTGAGCATGAACCAGGCTAAGATGGTAAGGGCAGAACCCGAGTACGGTCCCCTGACCCTTTGTTCAACTAATGCAAAGTGGCAACCAGAAGATGCTAAACTCTAAGGAGATTACTCGATATCATTATCACTATCTGTAGTTACAACCAGGAAGGCCTAACACGGGATGTAGAATATTTAAAGAAAGTAAAAATTGTAAGCTAATAATGAAGGCATATACTAGAGATAAAGGCCACCACCCAGAAAGGGCTCACAAAGGCTAACTTGCTTTGCCCACCAGCATTTATACACATATTTGATTTTAGTTTACTTCTCTCTCACTTGCTAATAGCAGACCACATACTTCTCTGCATCCTGTATGTACCAGCTGTTCTCTTTAAAGAAGAAAAACAGACTGTATAAGTACAGGATGAGGAGAATTTGTTAGAATACCTGTGATAGTATTGAGGGCTAACACATTGATCTCCAGGATACCAAGCAGTGTTGGGGTTTTTTTTTTTTCTTTTTTTCTCTTTTTTTGCTAATCTTCTCTGTATAATTCCAATTTTAGTATATGTGCTGCCGAAGCGAGCACATGTTTTAAATTCTTTATACATTAACTCATGTAAGGCTGGGTGCGGTGGCTCACGCCTGTAATCCTAGCACTCTGGGAGGCCGAGGCGGGTGGATTGCTCGAGGTCAGGAGTTTAAAACCAGCCTGAGCAAGAGTGAGACCCCGTCTCTACTATAAATAGAAAGAAATTAATTGGCCAACTAATATATATAGAAAATATTAGCTGGGCATGGTGGCACATGTCTATTAGTCCCAGCTACTTGGAAGGCTGAGGCAATAGGATTGCTTGAGCCCGGGAGTTTGAGGTTACTGTGAGCGAGGCTGATGCCATGGCACTCACTGTAGCCTTGGCAATAAAGCGAGACTCTGTCTCAAAAAAAAAAGAAAAAATTCATGTAATCCTAAAAAAAAAAAAAACAAAAAAAACTCAAAACTCCATGAGGTATGTACTATTAATATTTCCATTTACAGATGTGGAAACTAAAGCACAGATAAAAGCGGGCAATTTGGGATTATTTTCCAGTCAACTGGGAGATGTCCATAGTGACCTCCAAAATGGCAGCCAGAAGAGTGAAGGTGTGTCAGTGGTTTTAATGGGACTCTCCTAGGCAGGACAAGAGAACTAAGAGTCCCCTTGTAGCCCAGGTTGGCCATTCCACATGGAACTCATATATAAAAGAAATAGAGATAAATTTGAGCATATTCAGAGAAAGGCGGCCAGGTGCTATTTGTCATACTGTGCTACCTCCAAAAGATTTAGCAGCTGGACATTTAAAAATAACACTTTCAGTTTAATACATTAACTAGAAACACGTCTGCCACGACACAGGCCGTTGCACCATCTCGCGTTTCGTGTTTTCTCATACGATACAATTTTGCACGGGCCGAAACAAACAGGTCACGCTAAAACAACATGAGGGGGGAAAGGCGCTTTTTGCAAAGTTAGGGGAAAGTAAAGCATGACCCTGCTTGACCCCTCCAGAAAGAGGAGAAACCAGCCTGTCAGGTTCTGTGGCTGGAACAGAAGAGAGAACGGCAGGAGCCCGGAGGGCCGGCTACAGAGAAAGGTCAATAATGGAGAACAACAACGGCAAAGGCTTGGTTCTTGCTAAAATCTTTGTTCTTCTCATGAAATGTTAGAAAGGATTGTCCAAGATATTAACTCTCATCAGGAATTTGTTTCTTTGAACCTCCTGCATGTTTACCTTGCCTGATAGAATTCTGTCCCACGATGGGAGACTGCGGACTGTTTGAGGCCAGTGGGCCTCTACGAACTCAGCGCTTGAGTACCACCATTCCTGGGAGGAGGGAAAGAGAACAAAGAAATGGTGCTCCTTCACTTGTGTCATCGAAAGCGGCCCCACACCAGGCGTGGCGAAATGTCCTCGAGCTTTTAAAACCGCGTGAACCCACAGGCAAAAATGGATCTTGCTGCCCAGAGGAGCACGCTGACACACGCCTCTTTAAATCAACACGGACAGTTGTGCGTTCATTCACTCACTCCACGAACACCGAGTAAGAGGTGCTGTGCTGGGACGATGTGTGGTCTTTGCTTTCAAAGAGCTCACATTCTTGAGAGGAGGAAGACATGCAAACAAACGTAACACGAAGTGGAAAGTGGCCACAGACAGGGGCGGAGAGAGACCTGCTCCAGAAGATTTGGGTGAGGGAAGGGAGTCCATGAGAACTTAAAGGGGAAGAGGAGGCTCACATACCGGAGCTATGGACATGTCACCCTTTTGGTAAGAGTCTAGAAAGGCCCATAATGACTGCTGTGGTCTGAATTTGGCATCCCCCAAAATCCGTGTGTTGGAACCAAACCCCTAAGGTAATGTATTAAGAGGTGGTAATTACCTTTGGGTGGTAATTAGGTCATGAGGGCTCTGCCCTCCTGGATGGGATCCGTGCCCATATAAAAGGGCCTGAGCGAGTGAGTCTTCCCCTTTCACCCTTCTAGAATGTGAGGGCACAGCAAGAGGCACCATCTATGAGGAATGGGCTCTCACCAGACATCAAATCTGCAGAACCTTGACTGTGGACTTCCCAGCCTCTAAAACCGTGAGCGGTAAATGTCTGTGGTTCATAAATGACCCAGCCTAAGATATTTTGTTATGGCAGCCCCAACAAAATTTTTTACCAGGCAACAAGACCTTCTATGCCTGGTGAAACCTAAGCAGGCAGTGGGATTCTGGAGCTTCCTTATAAGGGTGAGCGCCCCACACACCCCAGCTTGCAACCTGCTGATACACACTTTGCTCATGCTCAGCCAGCTTTGCTCCAGCACATTCCCCTGTGTCTCAGAGAGCCGCAGGGCTTGGTTCAGGAAGAAGTCACAGTTATGCCCGTCTCCCATCAGTATACAGACATAGGCCATCAGGTGGTAGATCCTCGGGTAAAAAATAGGGCCAGTGGTATTTTGGGCCACCAGACTCTCCAAGTTCTAAAGAGAAAAAAACAGTGTGTCAGAATTAGACTGGCGTCCTTGCCTGCAAAGGTATTTCCTCCACAGATGATCTGGGACTACTTCAAGTATAAAAGCAATCAAGTGAGAAAGTACATTACAGAAACACACAGAGTCAGTATTGGAGATAAGATAGTACATGTCAGGTGGAATAGCCCCCATGGTCCGCCCAAATCGGAAACTGACATGAGAGGACCCATCAATAAATAAATTATGCAGAAAACTTTATTTTTATTATTAATATAAATTTTAGAGACGAGAAGTCAAACATATCGAATAATTGATAAGGCCCAGCGGCTACGGAGTGGAGTTGCCGGGTGGGTGTCAGGGCCTAGCTCACAGCCAAACCTCAAACATCCCGGGGCTCAAGCAATCACTCCTGCCGTCAGCCTCCCGACGTGCTGGACTACAGGCATGCGCACCAAGTGTCCATGGGCTAATTTGTTGTCCCAGTACCGATTATATTTTTAGCTGGGAGCCAAGTTAATTTCTATTCGTTTAGTATAGGACGAGGTCTCGCTCAGCTGGTTCGAACTCCTGACCTCAAGCAATCCCCCCGCCTCGCCTCCCAGAGTGCTAAGGGATTAGCAGGGCGTGAGCCACCGCACTGGGGCCACAACTTTTTTTTTTTTTTAAACATACTTTCTTCTGATTATTAAACAGGAGGAAAACTGGCCAGTTGCCTTGCATTGTAGAAGGGGGCTTGCGAAACTCAGCCATTTGGCCCTAGAAACAAGTAAAAATCATAACAGACTGAAAAATCAGAGAGGTGAGAACACAGGGCGAACTGCTGCCCTCAGGACTGGGGAGACACACAGATGGATACAGGGAGCCACACCTTATCAGAGCGGAGTCTTACGAGTGGACACCCTTGGGACCAGCGCCAAGGCGGGGGAAACGTGACTGGTAACTGAGAACTTACTAGAAGACGTGCAAATGGGACAAGTTGTGAGGGTTAAAACCCAGGGCGGGTTAGCACTTGGGAGGCCGAGCGCGGGCGGATTGCTCAAAAAGGATAAGAAGAGTAATACGAAAAACCGACCTGAGTGAAAGACACCCTCTGCTGACCAAAGATAGAAGAAAATTAACTTTGACCAATAAAAATAGTATATACAAAAAATTAGCCGGGGGCATGGTGGCGCCATGCCTGTAGTGCCCAGACTACGTCGGGACGGCTGAGCGGGCAGGAAGGATCACTGAGCCCGGAGATGTGAAGGTTGCTCTCGAGCCAGGGCTGACGCCACGGGCACCTTTCACGTCTAGCGCGTGGGCAACAACAGTGGAGCACTCTGTCGTCAAAAAAAAAAACAAGAAAAACAAAAACCACAAAAAAAACCCCGGGGGAGAGGATTCGGAAGGTGATGGCAGAGTAGGAAGTAGCGGGTATTGCCGTACCCACCTAGGACAATAAGGGGGCCGGCGCCAGACGGTCGAGTATTAACTGATTTTAGAACTTTAGGGTGTATTAAGAAGGCTTGAACTGCCGAGGGAAGGATTGGATGGTAAGTTAAAGTTAATTTCTGTCAACTTTTCAGCTGTCCAGGGCACAGAGCAGCTACTTTTCCCCCAAGCCCCGGCCCTGTAGCAGAGAGCTGTGCACATGCTCCTGAAGCAACTCGCACACAACTTGTGGGAATCAGGGTGGGCAAAAGGGACCCTGGCCTAAATATCAGGGATCTGTGCTTTGATCACTGATTGCTGCTTCTGATCAAAGAGGTACAAGACAATGGGGCAGGCAGCCATTGTTGTTACACCCTTTCATCCCTCTGTCACAAGCCCCTTTCCCTCTGGCTGAAGTGACTTCTGGGGATTTCAAAGGAATTCCCCTCACCCACCCTCACATTTCTCTTTTTCCCCTTTGAGAGCCACGCATCAAATACTAGGACATTCCAAAGCAAACACCTATACGGGGAAAATTAGAAAGTGACTCTGGGTGCCCAGGGAAAGGCACAGGCTCAGAAAAGACTAGAGAAAATCTTAAGCAGATCTTTGGTACAAAAATAACCTACAAAAATAAAAAAACCAAAAACAGTGACAACAATAACAACAAAAACACAGCAAACCCTGGAGAAGAGCGAGAATCGAATACCTAGAGCTGCTGTATAATTAAATTCAAATGTCTAGTTTTTAGCAAAATAATCACAAGGCATACAAAGAAACAGCAAAGCATGGCCCATTCAAAGGGAAAAAAAAATCAACAGAAACTGTCCCTGAAAAAGATCTGATGCTAGATATCCTAGATGAAGACTGTGAAACAACTCTTAGAGATGATCAAAGAACTAAAAGAAGATACAAAGTCAAGGAAACGATGTATGACCACAATGGAAATATCAATAAAGTGACAGAAAACCTAAAAAGAAATCAAAAATAAATTCTGAAGGTGAAAAGTTCAATAACTGAAATAAAAAAATGTGTTAGAAGGATTCAAAAGCAGGTTTGATAGGCAAAAGAATCAGCGAACTTGAGGATATGACAATGGAAATTATTGAGTCTGAGGAACAGAAAAAAGATTGATGAGAAGTGAACAAGGCCTAAGGGATCCGTAGGATACCAACAAGCAAACCAACAAATGCATTGAGGAAGTCCCTGAAGGAGAAAAAAGAGAGAAAAGAGCACATTTGAAGAAATAATGGCTGGAAACTTCTCAAATTTGAAAAAAGACACAATTACAAATATCCAAGAAGCTCAACAAACTCCATGTAAGATGAACCCATACTGAGACAAATTACAAGCAACTCATCATATATAAGGATCCTCAATAAGATTATTAGCAGATTTCTCATCAGAAAATTTGTAGGCCAGAAGGCAGCAGGCCAACATATTTTAAGAGCTAAAAGTAAAAAAAAACAAAAACAAACTATCAACCAAAAATGCTGTATCTAGCAAAATGTCCTCCAAAAGTGAGAGAGAAATTAAGACATTCTCAGATAAACAAAAGCAGAGACTATTTGTTACCACTAAAACTTACCTGAAAGAAATGCTCAAAGAAAAAGAAGAAAGAGAGAAAGAAATGCTCAAGGGAGTTCTGTAGGGTAAAATGAAAGAACTCTTGAAGTTGTATGGAGAAATAAAGATCTTGGCTGGGCACGGTGGCTCACGCCTGTAATCCTAGGCCTCTGGGAGGCCGAGGCGGGCAGATCCCTCAAGGTCAGAAGTTCGAAACTAGCCTGAGTAAGAGTGAGATCCCGTCTCTACTATAAATAGAAAGAAATTAATTGGCCAACTAAAAATATATAGAAAAAATTAGCCGGGCATGGTGGCGCATGCCTATAGTCCCAGCTACTCGGGAGGCTGAGGCAATAGGATTGCTTGAGCCCAGGAGTTTGAGATTGCTGTGAGCTAGGCTGATGCCACGGCACTCTAGCCAGGGCAACAAAGTGAGACTCTGTCTCAAAATAAATAAATAAATAAACTATGATTAATATGCTAAGAGCTTTAATGAATGAAGTAGAGAGCATGTACGGGCAATATAAGCAGAGAGGTGGATATCCTAAGAAAGAATCGAAAAGAGGTGTTAGAAATCAAAAACACTTTAAGAGAAATGAAGAATGTCTTTGATGGGCTTAATAGACTGGACACAGCTGAGAAAAGAATTTCTGAGCTTAAGGCTGTATCAATACAAACCTACAAATCTGGAAAGCAAACAAAGACTGAAAAAAAATAACACAATATTCAAGGACTATACAAGTACTTATACCATGAGACAAGTACAAAAGGTATAACACATGCATAATGAAAATACCAGAAGGAGAAGAAAGAGAAAAGAAGAAATATTAGAAAAAATAAAGACTGAGAATTTCTCCAAATTAAGGTCAGACATAAATTGCAGATCCAGGAAGTTCAGAGAACACTATGCAGAATAAATGCCAAAAAAAAAAGCATATCATTTTTAAACTACAGAAAATCAAAGATAAAGAAAAAAATCCTGAAAGAAGCCAGGGGCAGGAAGACAGCATCTTACCTATAGTGGAACAATTTCATTTGACTTTTCCTCAGAAACCATGCAAGTAAGGAGAGAAGCATGCCGTATTTAGAGTGTTGAGAGAGAGAAAAAAACAAACAAACAAATCCCACTAACCTAGAATTCTGTACCCTGTGAAAATATCCTTCAAAATTGACAACAAAATACTTTCTCAGACAAACTAAAATTGAGGGAAATCGTTGCCAGTAGACATGCCTTGCAAGAAACATTAAAAGAAATTCTTTAGAATTTACGAAATTCTTTACAATTTTAGGAAAATACACAAGTCAGAAACTTGGATCTACATAAAGAAAGGAAGTGCATCAAAGAGGGAATAAGTGAAGGTGAAATAAAACTTTTCTTTTTATTATTCTTAATTTATCTAACATATACGTTTGTTCAAAACAATAATAGCAACGATACATTCAATTATGTATGCTTATGCATACATCAAATACATCTTTGAGCAGAGATTCCAGCCAAGCCCACCCAGACTTCTGACCTGCCAAACTGTGAGATGAGAAGTGCGGGTGTTGTAAGCTGTTTGGTTTGCAGCAATAGAGCACTAATATACCTGTGCTCAGTTTTTTACAAGAACAAGGGCAGGGCCGGGGCGCGGGTGGGCTCACGGCTTTAATTCATAGCCTCTGGCGGGGCCGAGGCGGGTGGAATTGGGCTCCAAGGTCAGGGAATTCTAAACCAACCTGAGCAGGGAGTGGGAGACCACGGTTCTCTACGTATAAATGGAATAGAAACCAAGTTGGCCAACTGAATGATAGTATAGGAAAAAATCAGCCAGGCATGGTGGCGCGAGCCTGTAGTCCAGCCTACTTGTGGGCAGCTAGGCTGACGGCCTATGGCTACTCACTTCTAGCCGTGCGGAACAAAACCAGACATCTAGTCTCCAAAAAAATAAATTAAATAAAAAATAGAAAAAAAATAAAAAAAAGAACAAGGCAAATAAGTGTCAAGCCGCAATCAGAGGGTTAGCCCTTCAATTCTCTTCAAGGGGGCCTGGCCGTCAGGAGCCTGTAAAATCCATAGAAGTATGGCCCACCACTACTAAATATGCCTCACTTCCCTACAAGCCAGACAGCCTTTATCTGGTTGCTAGTAATATATGTGAGTCGAATTTATTTTTATTTTATTGTTTATTTTGGTTTTGTTGAGGAGGCAGTCTTCTCACTCTGCTTGCCCAGGCTAGGGAGCTGCCATTCGGTGTCAGCCGTAGGTCTTACAAGCAACCTCAAAGACTCCTGGGCTCAAGTGGGGGATCCTTATCTTGCACTCAGCCTCCAAGTACAGCCTTGGGACTTACGGCATGGCGCCACATGCCCGGCTAATTTTTTTTAATATATTTTTTAGTTGGCCATAATTAATTTCTTTCTATTTTTTAGTTATGACACGGGGGTCTCACTCTTGCTCAGGGCAGGGTTTCGAACTCCTAGACCTCGAGCCGAGTCCGCCCGCCTCGGTGGTACCCAGAGTGCTAGGAGTTACAGGTGTGAGCACCATCCCGCGCCGGGCCGATTTTGAAAATTAGTTGTGTGCAGAGATTTATCTATCAGGATCCTTATCACAGCTAATAGGCAGTAAATTACTATAGTAAAAGTCGTTATCCAGAATTTAAGTTGTTTTAACGTACTATTCACAATGCTAATCAATATATTCATAAGATAAAATACTATGATTCCTTTTAATTAGTAGTGTGAAAAGCAATGCAATGACATGGAAATTATAATATATTTAATATCAAATTATAAAATGGAAATGAGCATGCACAAACATAGAAAAAAACCTGAAAAGTGGTATCTCAATGTATAAAAAGTGGTTCTCTCTGATTATCAAGCTTATGGGAAGTTTATATGTTTTTCTTTATAATTTTGAGGAGGTGCCTTCAAAAACTATTATAAGCATGTATAAATTCCGTAATCAGAAAAGAGTTCGCACAGGAGGTAGACAGAAATGCATTCAAGGAGTGATTTATACTGGAGACTGCAAAACAAGCCTCACCTTGAGCATGTCAACGCCGTTCTCCTGGGCATTCTCAATCTGTTCTTCCATTTGTTTTTGAAGGTAGAGAACTTTCCCCTCCATGTACCTGCAGATTCCTTGGCAGTAAAGAATTGTTGGAGTTCTTCTTGGCACCAGATGTTTAGCTCTACTGAAAAATACGTGAAACTTGTCCCAATCCTGAAGTCTAGCATACCTACACCACCAGAGGAGAATAAGAAAAATCAGTATCTCTCCTGGAATGGGCTGATTTGCTGAAATGGCTCCCCTTTGGATGTGTCGCTTCCCACACTGGGATCTCTGGAAGTCTGCCTCCTGCCCAGCCCCACTCCACTCTCCCTAAAAAAAAAAAAAACCAGGAAATTCTGTGATATGGAGCAAGGAAAGGGTAGAATTTTTTGATGACTTAAGATGAACAGAATTCTTGGGAACATCCAGGTAATAGTAGCCACCTTGTATTTCACCCTTTGGATTTTTTTAGGTTAAAAAGTGAGGCAGATCAGATACTTGGCACTGTAAATTCTAGGGTTTGATGATGTTGCTCCAATTCCAGAGAGAGATCGTGTAGGCCCGTGCTACCCAAAGTGGGCGCCGCAGACTGGTATCATCAGTAACACCTGGGTCCCGGTTATTAGTGCAAATTCTCTGGTCCAACCCAGATCCACCGAGTCTGACAGGCTCTGCAGGCGTGGAATTGCTGGGATAACACGCTCTCCAGGTGAGCCTTATGCCCACTAACATGTGAGAAGTATTTGCCTAGGACGCAGCTGTTGTAAGAACTCTCCAGTTAAGATAGAAAAGAATAACAGGGCCGGGTGCAGTGGCTCACGCCTGTAATCCAGCACTCTGGGAGGGGGCCAGGCGGATTGCTCGAGGTCAGGAGTTCGAAACGGCCTGAGCAAGAGCGAGACCCCCCCCTCCCCCGTCTCTCCATAATAGAAGAAATTAATTGGCAACTAATGTATAGAAAAAATTAGCCGGCAGGTGGCACATGCCTGTGGTCCCAGCTACTCGGAGGCTGAGGCAGGAGGATTGCTTGAGTCCAGGAGTTTGAGGTTGCTGGTGAGCTAGGCTGACGCCATAGGCACTCACTCCAAGCCTGGGCAACAAAGTGAGGCTGTGTCTCAAAAAAAAAAAAGAAAAGAAATTAGGCTGATTTTTGGACTTATACTTCCTTGATCTTTAACTCACCGTGGCCAAGTTAATTGATTTGAACTTAACTGGCAAGAGTAATCTAACTTTTGGATTTAATATCTCCCAAGTAATTTTATAATAAAAGGGAGGTTTATTCAAATTTGGAGCTGCTCCTCATTTTGTAACATTTTATATAGGAATGTCTCCACATTGTCACTTTTTTTTTTTTTTGGAGACAGAGTCTCACTCTGTTGCCTGGGCTAGAGTGCTGTAGTGTCGGCCTAGATCACGGCAACCTCAGACTCCTGGATCAAGTGTCCTCCTGCCTCAGCCTTCCCAAGTTCTCTGGGAGGGGCTGAGGCAGGAGGATAGCTTGAGCTCAGGAATTCAAGACCAGGCCTGAGCAAGAGTGAAGACGCTATCTCCACTAAAAATGGAAAAAATGAGCCCAGGCCTGGTGGCGCATGCCTGTAGTCCTAGCTACTCGGGAGGCTGAGGCAGGAGGATTGCTTGAGCCCAGAGTTTGAAGTTGCAGTGAGCTAGGCTGACACCACGGCACTCTACCTGGGCGACAGTCCAGACTCTGCCTCAAAAATAAATAAATAAATAGTGGCTCATGCCTGTAATCCTAGCAAACCTGGAGGCTGAGGCGGGCAGATTGCTGGAGATCAGGAGTTTTGAAACCAGCCTGAGCAAAGAGCGAGACCCCGTCTCTACTATAAATAGAAAGAAATAATTGGCCAACTATATATATAGAAAAATTAGCTGGGCATGGTGGCACATGCCTGTAGTCCCAAGCTCTCGGAGGCTGAGGCAGCAGGATTGCCTGAGCCCAGGAGTTTGGAGGTTGCTGTGAGCTAGGCTGACGCCACGGCACTCATTCTAGCTGGGCAACAAAGCGAGACTCTGTCAGAAAAGAAAAGAAAGAAAGAAAGGAAAGAAAGAAAGAAAGAGAGAGACGAGAGAGAGAGAGGAAGAAGAAAGAAAGAAAGAAGAAGAAGAAGGAGGAGGAGGAGAGGAAGGAAGGAAGGAGGAAGGAAGGAGGAGGGAAGAAAGAGAGAGAGAGAGAGGAAAGAAGAAGAAAGAAAAAGAAAGAAAAAGAAAGAAAGAGAAAGAAGAAAAGAGAGAAGGAGAAGGAAAGAAGGAAGGAAGGAAGAAAGGAAGGAAGGAAGGAAGGAAGGAGAAGGAAGGAAGGAAGGAAGGAAGGAAAGAGAAAGAAGAAAGAAGAAAAAGAAAAGAAAAAAAAAAGAAAAGAAAAGAAAAGAAAAGAAAAAGAGCCAGTGATGCTGCCCAGGAGTACAGTACTGATCTGCTCTCTGCCGCATTGTACAAAGAGGCCTGCCTTGATGTGGGGAGACCTGCAGTTTTCCAGAACTTCCTGCTGCTGAGTGGGTAAGTCTAATTTTGGGGCTCAATATCAGGAAGCCCACTTGTGTGCCATGTCCTCCAACGCTAGGTTTATCCACAGTGTTTTTCTGTCTGCTTAGATCTGGGTGAGTGCAGGCAGGCAAGCGGTGCTGTTTATTAGCCTTCCTTAAACCCCAGCACTTTTCAGAAGCAAGTCATCTTTATTTATCCCGGCATCATCAAAACATAATACGTTTGTAATAAATGTTCATTGCATTGAATATAATTGAGACATCACTTTTCTGTCCTTGGTTGTAGGGGATGAACTACTTGATCCCTAAGGTGTCTTTCGGGCCAGTATTCTCTGATGCCTTTAAGCTGTCTCATGTATAAATTATGAATACTTTCCTTTCTTTAAAAAAAAAATTTTATAGAACTCTTCTTCAGGATTCACCATTTTTACCTTGGGAATTTAGTGATATGCAATACATTGTTACCAGATAGCTACAGATGAATAAAGTGCCAGGAGGAGTCCACTTTGGAACTTGAGGATTCTGTTGTCTTCATTTTGGGATATGAAATCCAAACATTCTTCAAATTGTCTATAAACAAAGCCTAAAAGAGAGAAATGGGTGAAATTTGCTCATGAGTGGGTGATCATCTTTCAGGCTATCCATTCCCAGTAGAATTGTCCACTGCAGGGAGCGTAGTCTCTGATTACTTCATAAATCCAAAGGGTCCCGTGGATTGCAACAAGCATGTAACCGAACTGCTCGTGTTTGTGAGTCCCAGCTATTGTGGAATGTTATGCATATGTAATATAATTCCGTGGTTCAGACCACGCAGGTGGGTTTAAACCACCCCTTCCTGGCCAAAGAGCAAGGAGTTGGCCTTGGTGCAGCCTAGGGCTTCTGTCTTCCCACCCATGCTTCCCCTGTTGACAGCAATATTTGCATCCTCTTTCAAAATCATATATGAGGAAAACAATCCCCAGGCTGGTTCCTCTGTTTTTGTTTTTTTTTGTTTTTTTTTTTTGAGACAGAGTCTCGCTTTGTTGTCCAGGCTAGAGTGAGTGCCATGGCGTCAGCCTAGCTCACAGCAACCTCAATCTCCTGGACTCAAGCGATCCTCCTGCCTCAGCCTCCCGAGTAGCTGGGACTACAGGCATGCACCACCATGCCCGGCTAATTTTTTATATATATATTAGTTGGCCAATTAATTTCTTTCTATTTATAGTAGAGACGGGGTCTCGCTCTTGCTCAGGCTGGTTTCGAACTCCTGACCTTGAGCAATCCGCCTGCCTCGGCCTCCCAGAGTGCTAGGATTATAAGCGTGAGCCACCGCGCCCGGCCCAAATGCAACACTTAAACAGACTTTAAACCCACCCCGACTCAGGACTGGAACATCTCAAATTGGCTGTTTTGTTCGAATTGTTCTTTCATGGAGTCTCTATATTAGGGTGACCAGAGCCAGGCCAAACCGGGCTGGACCTCAAGTCCTGGTTGCTATTCTCTGGTCATTTGCCCTCCTGTTAACTCTTTCCCTTTCTTTCCACTTGGCAGGGGTGGCAGCCAACCCCCAGCATGGGGACGACTGTCTGACTCCCCTCTGGTCATTGGCCAGAGCAACCAGATCAGAGAGGATGCCCCTGGAAGAATTCTGTTAAAAAAGCCTCGCTATCCAAAGGTAAAGGACGATTATTATCAGTTATATCATCTTCCTGCAAACTACTCCCTTCCCTACCCTACAGCCAGAATAAAGTGATAAGATTGCTTCTTCCTGCTAACACTGGAAAATGCTTTAAGATAAATACCTGCATTTCAAGAAGAAAGATTTACTAAGTCTGCAGAGGACCATATAGTACTTGTTGTAATTCCGGAGCCGTACCCACATCTTACAGGCTCGGGAGGCTGGGAAGAAAACAATTCCAGTGTATTTGGGGGCTTCACTTGTATCTTCATATCCCTCCTTGCCCAGCCAGCCCTTACCTAACTCAATGGACAGGTCCAGGTGTCCCATTAGGAGCTTGATGTAGCTCAGGGTATCGGCCATGTATGCCACGATTTCAATGCCCTCGCCTTTCATGGGGAGGTTGAAGACCTGCTCCATGGCCAGGATTTCATATTTGAACCACACATCCGGGTAGCCGTCCAGGTGGTGGTACAGCGAATAGTCCAGGTAAGCCTTAATGATCTGAAGAGGCAGAGTAGAGGAGAGAAGGGGGCAAGACTGAGGTGGAACCCAAAGCAGAGAGCCCAGGGACATTACTCAATGTCTGCCAGTAAATATTAACATTTGTTTAGTAAGCTTGGGAATGGAACTTAGACACAGCAACCGAACTGGCTTTCTGCCGCCTATTCACTGAATCATCCAGGACAATCCCTGTGGCCCCTGGCCCTTGCCCTCGGAGTACTTAAATGAAATATAAAACTTTAAATTTCTGTGAAAAATAGAAGCAATAGCTTATATGTATGGATATATGATTCCATGGGACTCCAAAGTGTAAATAATGGTTACCTATATGTTGAGGGAGTGGATTTGGGGGAGAAGAGGGACTTTTTTTTTTTTTTTAACCTTCTGTGGTGTTCAGTTTGTTATACGAAACATGCATTACTTGTATAATTTAACAAAAAAGGTAGGTTGGTTTGGTTTGTTTGCTTTAAAAAAGAAACTAAGGAGAACTTCTAAACTTAATTTGAAGATTTAGAGAAGTTGGTTACTCTTTTAACAACTCTTTAAAATGATAAAGTTGCCTCGGTATATAAATGTGTAGAGAAAGGTAAAAAGAAAACAGCCCCTTCTAAGGGAGCAGTTTGGTTCTGTATACAAAATGACAACAGAATACATGAAAACTACTTTGAAAAATCCAAACAGGAGAAATTTAGAATCTCTCACGATAGAAGTATTGGACTTTGGGGGCAGTTGGGTAGGGGAAGAATTTTAGAGTAGGGACCTTTTTCCTGGAATGCCTCAAATTACACAAAATAACCAGTCTACAAAATCTGTGTTAAAAGCAGGTCCCTGAGTACTTGTTAAACCACAAAGTCTATCTCAGGGAATTCTTTTATTCCTAGTTTAGAACATGCTTCAGATAATGCTGCCAGATGGGAAGGATAGCCAGAAATGGTGGTGGGGGAGAGAGAATTGTTGGGCAAATGAGGAATCCAAGGCTGCAATAAAGCGTAGGTACTTCCTGGATTTGGACCAAGACAATGGAGTTCAACTGCTCCACTTTACGGGGAAAATATAAAGTCTGGAGGTTACGTGGCTTACCAGTGGTCCCACCGCCGACAGGTGGAGTCCTGGAACCACTCTCTGGACTCTCCGCCTCGGTCTTTCTATTCTCCTATGCTGAGGGCCTCATCTGCTTTTTTTGAGACAGAGTCTCGCTTTGTTGCCCAGGCTAGAGTGAGTGCCGTGGCATTACCCTAGCTCACAGCAACCTCAAACTCCTGGGCTCAAGCAATCCTCCTGCCTCAGCCTCCGGAGTAGCTGGGACTACAGGCATGCGCCACCATGCCAACTTTTTCTATATAATATTAGTTGGCCAATTAATTTCTTTCTATTTAAGTAGAGAG